GCCCATTGCTGCCTTGGAATTGCCTTTATCATATTAACAACCCACTCTGGTAGCATGAAGGAAAGCTGGTTTAGATTCCAAGAAGAGTCCTCACCAAACAAATGATTAACTACTAATCTATCCTCTCCTTCATTTAGAGGCCCTGAGATAAGTAGTCTTAAAGGCCCTAACCCTGTCCAATCATCCCACCAAACTCTAGCTAGGAATCCATTCCCAATAGTCCAGCCAATTCCTTTATTATAGAGTTCCATTCCAAGGTTAAGGCATTTTTTATTGGTGGAGCCCTGTCTTGAAGATAGCACTAATCTCCTTTGTTGTAGGGATTGGGGCTCATCAATATACCTAAAGTGGAGAAGGTAGCTCCAAGGTTACTTTTGGGAGTGTCTTAATCTCCAACAAAGTCCTGCCATTGCTGCCTTATTTACATCTGATGTTTTTCATAGTCCTAGTCCTCCTTGTCCCGTCGGCATGGTAATAGCACCCCAGTTGACTAAGTGCAGCTTGCGTTTTTCAAGGGTGGAACCCCATAAGAAATCACGCTGGATTTTATCAATGGCTTCACAGTAGCACTTGGTAGCGGGGTACTATGGGCATAAAAGGAGGAGATGCTTGAGGTGACTTGTTGGATAATTGCTTTCCTTCCAGCAAAAGAGAGTAAGCTAGCTTTCCACCCAGTTAGTTTAGCCCTGATTTTATCCAAAAGAAAGGATAAGGATTGGTTGGAGACTCTAGGATGAGCAATAGGAATTCCTAAGTATCTTCCAAGATTTTGAGTCTCCTCAATCCTCAGGAATGAAGTTATATGGGTCTTGGAATGTGAGCTCACATTTTTTGAGAACAGAATCCTGGACTTATTGAGATTAATAGACAACCCAGATCTCAAGTTGAAGTTGTCAAGGACCTTCTTGACTTCTCTAATAGAAGTTTCCGAGCAGCTGGAGAAGAGCATAATGTCGTCTGCAAAAATACAATGGGACAAAGGGAGGCGTTTCTTCCTAGTTTGAGAGCCTCCCATTTTTTATTCTCCAAAGCTTGGTTTATGCTTAGAGATAAAAACTCCATGCATAGGATGAAGTGGTACGGAGAGATGGGATCTCCTTGCCGTATACCTTTGGAAGGGTGCAACCATTCCAATGGAGAACCATTGAATAAGACTGCCAATCTTAGGGATGAGACGCAATTCAGAATGACTGAGATCAAACTGGGGGGAAAATTGAAGTGGTTTAAGGCATCTCGGATGAAACTCCATTCAAGTTTGTCATAGGCCTTCTCTAAATCAATTTTGATTGCACATAATCCAGTTCTACCTTTCTTTTTGCTGAGGCAATAGACTGCTTCTTGGACAATAAGAACATTGTCAGATCTTTTTCTACCAGGGACAAAACTGGTTTGAAAGGGGGAAATGAGAGAGTCCATGACACGTCTTAACCTATTAACAATTACTTTGGATAGAATTTTATACACAGAGTTGCAAAGGCTTATGGGCCGAAATTGCTGGATAGATTCTGGCAGATTATTTTTGGGAATGAGGCATAAAAAGGTATCATTGATACCCAGCGGGAAAGGACAACCAAGAAAGGATTGCTGCACCAAATTATACACTGAATTTTTTATCTCACTCCAGAATTTTTGGAAGAAAGCTGGGGGAAGGCCATCCGGGCCTGGGGCCTTGAAGGCTTTCAAGTCATTAACAGCTTGGTTAATTTCTCTTAGGGCGGAAATGCTTCCAAGCTGAAGTTTAAGGAGAGGATCAATATTTCGGTTTGGCCCTGGAAATGGCTCTGGATTTAAGAAGGAGCAAACCGTATCCGTGGAGAACAAATTCTGAAAATATTTGGAAATGTGGCTGCCTAAGTGAGCTTTGTCAGAAATCCAGTTACCAGCATTGGATTTAAGAGTAAGGATACGATTCCTTTTTCTTCTATGAATGGTGGTGGATTGGAGGAATTTAGTGTTCAAATCATTCCAATTGATACAATCCACTCTAGACTTCATTGGCCATAAGTCCTTTTCTTGAAGCAGAATATGGTTGTAATTATGCAGAAGCTGGGACTCAAGACCAACCAAATAGTTGGAGAAATGTTCTTGCTGCTTTTTTTGAATGCCCTGGAGTCGAGCTAACAACCTTCTTTTCTCCTAAAAAATATTTTTAAAGGTATATTTACTCCATGCAGAGACAGCTAGAGTAAAATTACCTAAGATATCAGGTAGGGACTCTGCGGAATCCCAAGCCTGAAGCACAATGGGCCTAAGGGAGGGCTCTGCTAGCCAGAACTTTTCAAATCTGAACACCTTACCCTGACTAGCCGAGTTGACCAAATTAACTAGGACTGGGCAGTGATCAGACTTGGTACAAGGAAGTGGAACACTGCCGAATCCAGAAATAAATTATTCCAATCCAAATTGCAAAAGACACGATCAATTCTCTCAAAGATGAGATCCCCTTGAAACCTTTTATTAAGCCAGATGTACTTGGGACCAGAAAACCCCAGATCAAACAGGTTACACCAATTAAGACGGAATACCACCAAGTTTATCTAGGTTAGATAATTTTTGGGTTAAAAACAAAAAAGCCCCCTGTGCTAAATCTAATACACAACTAAGCCCCCTATGGTTTCAAAATATGCAACGCGACACCTCGTGCTTTGAACTAAGTTGTAACACTGACGAAAATCGGTAAAATTAACGGGAACTGATGAAAGGACCAAAATGCCCTTGTATAATACCCAAAAGGCAATTGAGCGGACTCATTTCTTCCCTTCAAATCCTACGAAGAGAGAGAGAGAGAGAGAGAGAAAGTAAATCGAAGGAGACGAAGGAGACGGAATCAAGTAAGAAAATCGAAGGAGACGAAGATTTATTCCAGAAAATCGAAGGCAAATGGGTATGTATGCTATACTTCGTTCATGTTATAATTAATTAAAATCAGTTCATGCATGTTATAATTAGTTTACAATTTAGGGTTACCCATCTCAGATTTTGAGGGCTGATGATGTTATTTACACCCGTATTTGGGTGTTTACCTTAGAAAATTCCTGATTTTGTGAGTTTTGAAACTGGTACTTTGGATTTAAAATGAAGATTTTTGCTGTTTTGGGACTACGACTTTAGTTTTGAAGCCGAGATTTTTTTAAAAAATTTTGGGTGTTGGAACTAGGAGTCATGCAAATAATTTCTGAAATGTCCATTTTTGATGGGAGATTTTTGCTGATTTGGGACTGCAAGTTTGGATTTAAAGTTGAGATTTTTGTTGATATTTGGGTGTTGACTAGGTGACGCAAATAATTTCTGAAATTTCCATTTGTGATGGGAAATTTTTGCTGATTAGGGGTGTTGAGTAGGATCTGTTTCTGTTTGTGTGTGTTTGTGTGTTTGAGTACAACTCAGTCACTTGCTATTACAACAAGATATTTAACAAAGAATTGTAAGTAAAATTTCTATAATTGTTACTATCTTCTCTGGTTTAGTGGTCCAGAATGCTATTAAAATTGGTTTTCTGTTTGTGCTTTTATGTTTATTTGGTTTTCTGTATATCAATGATGGAGACATAGTAGTTGGGAGATTAAAGCATATTTATTATATTTCTTGAAACATTCAACAGAAGAAGACAAGTCAGAGGAGACAGTAGATATACATATGTATTTTGATGGAAAATTTAGAGAATATCCTGCCCTCCACTACACAGGAACCCGTATGGCTATCTTTAAAAATAGACTTGAGGACCACATCTGCATAGTTAGCCTTTGCAGAATGTTTAAAAAAGTGGATGAGGATGCAACTAGAGTGACTTTCTGGTTTTGTGCTCCAGGAGTAGACTTAGATGGTGGTCTACATCCAATTAGGGACCATGATGATGTTAAATTAATGAATAAAGCACATTGGGGTTTGGCAACAAGGATAATATATGCCTGTAGTGGGGATGATCCTTTTGAAAAGCCACTAGAACATAGTGGGGACAATGTGTTGGAGCCAAATTCGACAATGGATGCATCAACAACAATTAAAAATGCAGATGGGGTACATAACACCAAAATAGACAGCAGAGATGGTGGGGTACAAAAAAAAATGATGGGGTTAGTAATTGCAATTCAAATAAGCCATTTAACACTGATGATGATGATGATGATGATGAGCCTGAATGGTTGAAGGAGGGGTTGGAAAAAAAAGAGGATGAGGACATTTTCGCAAGTAAAAAAGATGTGGACAGAAGTAGTAAACCAGAAGGTGGATCCATACTCCATTCCACTCATTTTAAGCCTTATCACGTGTTCTCTTTCCCTGAGAAGGTGGCTATCAAGAGCCGTGCCAAAAGTGAAACTAGTAAGGAAAAAAAGTCTAGTAAAAATAAGAAGCAGTCTGCAGGGCCAGATAGCATTGGAGAAATTCCACCTCATATCTCATTTCAGAATTCATCTCAAGCTGCATCTCAAGCTGCTGACCAACACCCATCTCAGATCCCATCACAAGCTGAAGCAGGGAACAGTAAAAAGGCTGAGGAAAGTTCAACAGAAGAAGGAGCACCACATACACCCGAAGAGGATTGGCAAGAACCAGTAATTTCTGATGAAGAGTTGCTGGACAAGTGCGGATCTAATGATGAAGGCCATGAAGAATGTCATGACTTTAACCCTGAAGTGGAGTTTCTCAAGCCACATTTTGAGTTGAAGGTTGGGCAAAAGTTTTCCAATTTCAGAGTTTTTAGATATGTGTTGATCGAATGGTTGGTAAGAGAGGGATATAAGGTTGATTGGATAAAAAATTACTCGAAAAAAATTATTGCGAAGTGTGCAAAGGGCTGTTCTTGGAGGATTCGTGCAACACCAGTCCAAGGTGAAACTACTTTTCAAATTAAATCATTGAAGGGCCAGCATGTTTGTGCTAGAGATTACAACAACAAGCATGCAACAGCCAAGTATTTGAGCGTGAAGTACCAAGACAAGATAAGAGGTGACCCGCAGTGTGCTGCAATAGGATTTTAGAATGATATTAGAAGTGATCTAATGATTAACGTGTTCGTTGCCAAGATACGCAGAGCAAAGAGATGTGCAAAAGATGAGATGCTTGGCACGGATATGGAGCAATATCACCACCTTTGGAGTTATGCAGCTACAATTAGAGAGACAAATCCTGGTAGCATTGTCAAGATTAAGCTTGATACAGCAGAAGAAGGTTCACAAGGGACATTTCAAAGACTGTATTACTGTCTTTATGCTTGCAAACAGGGGTTCCTCGATGGCTGTCGACCAATAATTGGTCTTGATGGGTGTTTTTTGAAATCTGCATTTGGTGGTCAGTTGTTGTCAGCAATTGGTAGAGATAGCAATGACAATATGGTTCCAATAGCTGTAGCAGTGGTAGAGGTAGAGAGGTATGACTCATGGAAGTGGTTTCTGGAACTACTAATGGCTGATCTGGGACTTGGTGTGGAAGACATACCCTGGACATTCATCTCAAATCGACAAAAAGGACTGGTCCATGCAGTGAATGAGTTATTTCCAAATTATGAACACAGGTTTTGCTTGAGGCATATGTACCAAAATTTCAAACAGAAGTTCAAAGGAAAAGAGTTGAAGGACTTGTTCTGGGCAGCAGCAAGTGCTGGGAATGAAGTGGACTGGAAATTAGCAATGAATTCTCTTGAAAAAGCTTCAAAGGATGCAGCTGAATGGCTGCAAAAGTGCCAAGTGTTTTATGGAGCAGGTCACATTTTAGACAAAGTAGCAAATGTGATATTCTTGTGAACAATCTTTGTGAGTCATTTAATAACTATATCTTAGAAGCTAGAGAGCTACCTGTCATAGGGATGCTTGAGTGGATTCGAAGAAGGCTCATGCAAAGGATTCAAGTGAAGAGGACTGGTATGCAGAAATTTCAAGGAAAAATATGTCCTAACATTGCAGAGAAGATTGATAGGAATCTGAAATTCAGTAGGCTGTGTATTCCCACATGGGATGGCAAGAACAAATATGAAATTGATTGTGGGCCCAGAAAATCTGTTGTGGTGGATCTGAAGGAAAAGACTTGCACATGTGGCTATTTCCAGCTTACAGGTTATCCTTGTGCTCATGCATGTGCTGCAATAGGAGCACGTAGATTGCCTTTGCTTGATTATGTGCATGCCTGCTACAGTAGAGAAAATTACTTGAAAACATATGAGCACACTATCACACCTGTCCCAAGTAACAAGTACTGGGTGAGATGTGAAGAACAACCACCAAAACCTCCTGCAGTTCGAAGAATGCCTGGCAGACCCAAAAAGATGCGGCAAAGGGCAGCCGACGAGCCTAAAAAGGGTCAGGTCTCAACCAGAAAGGGTCTTGTGGTAACTTGCAAGAGATGTTTTCAGCCAAGACACAATTCAAGGACCTGCAAGAATGCCATTCATCCCAACTCTAAATTCTACAAGGTAACACAGCTTACAGATTTCATAGGCTAAGACTAATTGCTGTCCCAAATCATTTTAATTGAACATTAAAATGAACTTGTTTTTTATAGGCTCCTGACACCAATGTAGCTGAATCAAGTTCAGAACTTCATTCATCAGCTCCTTCACCAATAGTACCCCCGCAACCAGTCCCAAATCAAGAACAAGCTGCACCTGTTCAAAAAAAAAACTGCAGGCCCGGGAAGCAGTATACGCAGCCAACAATTGCGAGTGTAGCAAAAAATGCGCCTGCTAGACAATCATGTTCTCAGGTTGAATTTCATGTAACGCAAAAGTGATTTAATGAAGCATTTTTCCTTCAAACATTCATATTTTCTACTTCAATTGCAGCCTGTGAGTGGAACAACTTCACTAGCAAAAGGACCCCTTCGTCCTACTGTTGCTGATGTCCTATACAACCTAAGATCCAAGAAAGCAAGAAGATGTTAGAGTTGAATTTTGAAGTGGACTGTATGTTTGTTGATTGCCTTTTTGTGTAGTTTTAAGGAATTAGTGGTTGCTGTTAGAGTTGGTGGCAAACAGCTGGAATGTATGTTTCTGATGTATTTTGTCTACTCTGTTTGGAATTGTTATCAATTATTGCAAACTGGAAACTTTGATGTATTTTGATTGGATGCTGTTGGCTTCAGTAATTTGGAGGATTCTTTGCTGATGTTGGACACTTTAATGTACTTATTGACTGTTTTAATGGAGCATTATGATTATGGGCTGCAATGGTATATCTCAATTGCAGAAGAAGCTATTTCTGGGCAGTTTTTATGGGCTGGAATATTTCATGTACTGTTTGTCTGGGCAGTTTTTGTTTGGTGGGATGTATTTTGTCTACTCTATTTGAAATTGTTATCGTTTCTAGAATGTATAGTGGGATATATTTCTGGAATGTTGGGTGGGATATATTTCTGGAATAGTTTATGGACTGGAAATTTTAATGTACTTTGGTGTACTTATTACTCAAAATTGGAATGCAGAAGACGTTATTGTGTGTGCTTATTGCTCAAAACTGTTTTTAATGCACAAATATGCTTACAAGTGTATATAATAGTTAGATGTTTGTTTCATTGTTTTAGGTAGGACATCTTTCAGAAAAACAGAAGAATAAAGTGCACATTTCCATGAACAAAACAAACTACCTGATTTTTTTCATTTCCATTCATAAGCTTCTTCATTGTCTTATTTTACAGACATTTTCATCAACAGAAGCAAAAGTGAAAAAATAGATACCATTAGACAATAGCTAACTAGTACTTTCAAGTTCTTCACTTCATCATTCAAGTTCTTCACTTCAGAATTCGAGTTCAAGCACGACAAATGTTCTTCAACCATTAGCCTCTGTTCTTCAACCATTGGCCTCTCAAAAAAGTTTCCTCTGCCGGTTTCATCTCTATAGATGGGATTACACCATGAGAAAAATCTGCATTCATCCCTTTCACAAACAAAGTACAGCATCCCTTTGGATGGCTTTTCGGACTCAACAATCTTCACCTTTGCCTTTCTTCGACAGTCGCACAGCTTATATTGGTACCGTAGATTCCTAGCTCCACTATCCCCTCGAGAGCTTGAGGAAGACATGAGCAAATTTTTTAGCCAGTCATTTCCCTTCATCAGTAGATAAATCCCAATTTAGTTACCAACATTCTTACTTTAAACCCTAATAACAACAATTTGTTAGCCAAAACCCAAAATCAAATGCTTTTACCTTATGGGCTGCAATTTGTTAGCCAAGATTGTGTAGAAGTTCCTCGCAGGTTGACTTCGTATATAGAGGATGGCTTTACCTTTCAAACCTCCTGTGTGGTAATTTGATTTCTCCCAAAGGCTAGTTCAATTTCTCTCCATCAAGTAGAAATCGATTCTATACACAAGCATCGCTGGGAGGGAGTTTTATTGGGGGCTAAGGGGTACAATAGGAATATTTGCTAAAAATTAAGTATAAAGAATTTGTTTTTAGCTTCCAGTACATCAGTCCCGTTAATTTTACCGATTTCCGTCAGTGTTACAACTTAGTTCAAAGCACGGGGTGTCGCGTTGCATATTTTGAAACCATAGGGGGCTTAGTTGTGTATTAGGTTTAGCACAGGGGGCTTTTTTGTTTTTAACCCATAATTTTTCATTAAAGTCCCCAAGACAAAGCCAAGGTAGGGAGAAATGGGAAGCTACAGCCTTTAGATTATCCCACAGCAAGAGTCTATTACTATGAACTGGACTGGCGTAAATAGCTGAAATAAGCCATAAAGGGGTATCAAGGGATACCTGGATAGTAGCATGGATTTCTTGAGCAGTTTTGCTAAGGATATTGAATTGGACCTCATGTGGTTTCCAAAGCAGCCATAGCCCACCTTTCCTGCCCACTGAATCCACAATCTCAAACCCATCAAAGGGTAAGCTTCGATACATGTTCTCCGCTACCTGGCCTGAGATTTTAGTCTCGGCTATAATAATAACTGAAGGTTTGTGGATATCACAAAGATCTAAAAGATGGTTCCAGAAAATGGTGCTACCAGCATTCCTTACATTCCATGTTATGATATTCATCTGACTAAATTTCCTCTCTGTGTTGGATCTTGGCAGATTGGTTGCTTGTCTGCTTATTTGCCTTCCGTGGTTCCAGTTCCTCAGAGCTCTCCTCGACCTTGCAACTCTTCTCTGCTCCTCCAGAATTGGCCATATCCTCATAAGGAAATCCATGTGTGGTCCTTGCTTTTCTGGGTCGATGAGTATCCTTACTTCTGCTCCGACAACTCCTTCCATAGGGAAAATGAATGTCCCGGCTTCGTCGGGCCAATCTATACCCAGTGTAAGGGGCAGGGCCACTAGCGATTCGCCGGACCATCTTCTTCTTTGGTGATAGTCGGACCCCAATTCTGTATCTACTCTGAGGTTGGGGTTGCATTCTCCAGCGGGCTGATTGTTGATCTCCAGGTTCTTCCTGCCTTGCCTTTGAGAACCGAAGTGGAGATTCTGTTTTAGGGTGCCTATGTTCCTGTGAAAAGGGGCCAAGTCGATCGAAATATCTACTCTGGTACTCGTAGCCCACAGGTGTAACATCCCCAGGATGTGGTTGTGGTTCACTTCTTCTAGGAACCTGGCGTTAGAGTTTTGCATCCTTTGGCGAAGGTGTTGGGGAGCATAAATGTAGTGGGATTCTACCAGTTTCCAGTTCTCCTCGTTGTGAACTTGACTGGATCTTGGTAAATCCGGATTTTGGTTCACTAACAGGATTCTGTTCCTTAGGGTACGAGAAATGGCCATTCTGTCGTTTTGACTTAGCCTTGGAGGAGGGTGCCTTGCATACGGGTGGGATCTTCCTTGATTCGACATGATTCTTTAGGAAGGAGATGAGGCTTATAGAAAAGGTTATAATTGGAGTGGAGGCAGAAGGAGCTTTTGAAATTTGTTTTGAATAAGGGTGAAACACAATTACAGACTTAGTAGGGGATGCCCTAGAAGAAATCGTTGAATTTGAAATCCTAGGAAACGTTGAAGCATCCTCTGAAATTTTCCCCATTTGTGTATCCTCGGGATTAAGCAAGGAGAAAGAGTTGGTAGTAATGATAGGGGAAGGAAGAAGGGACTGGGTTATCTGATTAGAAGAAACGTCTGCAGTTTTGCCTGACCGATGAGGTAGAGTGTAGTCATTCGACTTGTCAGAGGAAGCAGGGTCAACTACTCTAGTTGACTTAACATACCATATCGGGTAAGGTCGCTTTCTCCAGTTTTGATTCGTCATACAATTGAGATAACCCATCTGCCTTCGAGACACCTGCTGAGGACTTGGCAATGCATTTGAATTTGAAAGTGGTTTGGGCCTCGATTTTTTCAATTTGTGCACTACTTTCATCCATGGCCCATAATGACTAGGATGACCGTTACCATCGGCGGTGGAAGTTATTGCCTGAGGTCTGGGCTCCGGGAGACCATTAACGGAGGATGGAGCTGCTTTGCAATGAAGACAATCTATTTCAATTCTACCACCTCTACCACATTTGAAGCAGAAATTTAACCCTTCATACTGAATAGGTTGGGATAAATCATCTATTTCCAGGGAGTGAGTAAGAGGTTGGTTGATATCAATTTGCACGAACAAACGCGCAAAACGCCCTCTAGCGACGGATAAGGTTTGCGGATCGATTTTCACCAGTGATGCCAAGCTTTCACCTATCCTTTTGAGAATAAGCTCATCATAATATTCCACTGGAAGACCAGGGAGTCAGATCCAGATAGCAGAAATATTCATATTATCTCTATCCGAACTAAAATTTGGTTGCCACCTCCTGATCGTGAGATAGTGACTATTAATGAACCATGGGCCTTTTGAGATAATCTTTTGGAAATCCTTCTGATCCCCAAACTTAGTGATGAAGTAGTCAGAGCCAAGATCTAGCAAAGAGATGATTCCTTGAGGCTTCCATAAATCTCTAATTTTTTGACTGATGAATTTGAAACCAAAGCTGCGGCCATAAGACTTGATAATCAGATCTATGTCCCAACCAGCTCTGATACAGGCTTTGTCCTCTGGTGACAGCATTATTTTTGACTTACCCATGAACAACTGTGGGTAGTCATTAGATGGATGTGAGGTATCCGTATGAAAGGAGGAGTTATAAGGCCACAACTGATCCTTAAGGAGAACATCCTTGAAGCTTGGCTGAGTTTTGCTTGGGCTGGGATGAACCGTTTCTGTTAAACTAGGCTGGTCAACTGAAATAGGAAGAGGGTGAGACTCAAAAAGCACGGGAAAGTCTTGGTTTTGCTGTAGCCCAGAAGTATGGTCAACAAGGGGCGGCGAAGGAAATTGCCGGCATGTTTTCTCCGGGTTTTCGCACTCCGGAGAAGGAGGAGTAGCCATTTTTCCAGACCGACTTCTTTAGTGCTCCAGGCCTTAATGATGATTCTCGCAGGTTCTTTTACTTTCCAGATGTCCCACAGGATAGTGTTACGCAATATAAGTCATCTTTTTGAGACAATATAATAGTAAACTTTGGAGTTCCATTGATTACTATTATATTTTTATTCCATCGTTTCTTACTGGGGAATTGAAGACAATGTCCGTGACCAGTGTTCCTAAAATCTTGTACAGATTTTCCTCAACGGGGATGAACTAATCTCTTTTTCTAGTCAAGGAACAACGGAAGATTTGGTTCGACTTAAATTGTGAGATCTAATTGATTTTAGTTTTCCTATTATTTCCTGGTATTCGCATATTTCTTGCATTATTTTCTTATGGTTATTGTATTATTCCATTATCTTGGGCCCAGATGTTAGATTAATTCAATAACTTAGAGCCAATTAGAATAAATAAATCTATAATTGTTTGATTGTTCTAAATTAGTGGCAACTAGCTTAACCAGGGTTATGTCAGGGAAATATACGGGTTAATTTGTAAACAACCCTCGTAGCATATTGTTTGGTTAGAACAGAGTTTCTCTAAA